GCATGGAGACGTCGAGACTCGATCTGTACATCGGCTCACCAAATACCAGAAACCGGGGAAATTGGTTCGGCCGAAAACATTTTGGCACAACACTGCAAACTCCAGACGTTGGACATTACAGACGACGCACTTTGTCGGAAGCATCGGGACCATTGTTCGCCCGTAATTTTAGTGTCTTGGGACCGCTCGCCCATCTCTCTCTCTGAAGTTTGAGTTTGTACATTGTTACTTGCTCGGCTTTGTTTGGGAGAGGGTTTTTTACTGGTGTGGGCCGCGGGGGTGTCCGTCGAAGATGATACATTCCGACTGACAAGAAAATATGCCGCGTCAATAGTGGCGATTGGTTTGGGGTCCCGGTAGGGCGGAGTCAGGTCCTACAAAAAAGGACTACGAGACGATACGGGGAGAGTCGGAGAGATACGATGCGATGAGCTCGAGATGGTAGAGAGACGGGATGGAACAAGGAAGATAACGGTGCGAAGAGATAGCGATGAGAGCCGATGAGATGATTGACTGGGGCAAGGATGGTACGATGAGGAATGAAAGTTAGAGATGCGAAACGAGGAAGCGAGTGAATGGAACGTTACGAAAGAGGGCTAAGAGGGAAATCACTGAGAAGCACGATGAAGGCGACGATGACGAAGACAATGAAGACGCTGACGAATTGGACAATGACCCCAGGAAGAAGCCGTGAGCCCCGACTCGAACAGCCAGCTCCAAGGCCCCCGTCAACATGGACCTTTCGTGAGACGGACTTTATGCACCTTATTTAGATTAGCTTTGCGGGAAGGGAGGTGGCGTGTTGAGACATTGCGTGGTTTTATTCATTGATAACTTCATCATTTGTGTCGTCGTTTGTTTTCTTTATATATGCATACCCTTATATTGTTGCAGTTACTTTCTTTATGTGCCTGCCCTGTGTCAAACGTCGCGAGTGTATAAATCATGTGTTATAATTTTTTGTAGTGCTTGACGTACCCGAGTATACGATGTTTGCAGTTGGTAATAAATTAAATGAATCAGTAAACAGAAACAGGTCGTAGCGTCTCTTACTTCCCGGCCCCAGCACGAATCCCTGTATGAGAGAAGTGATTGAGACACATAGCCAAGAACGAACCGGATAGAGAAGGGGCTGAGTGGTCTTCCCTTTCTTTGGTAATCGGTGGTGTAGCGGGGGACGTCTCAGCAGGGAGGTTAACGAGAAAGACATCAGGTTGGCTACCCTACACTGGGGGATTAGGGCAGGGGACAAGAAAGACGAGAAAGAGGGAAAAGAGAGAAAAGAAAAAAAAAAGGGTGCGGGAGAGACTGACAGTAATTTCACTGCAGCGTGTAGAACTCGACCGCATGTCAGAGGCGTTCACACAAGCCTGTCTTTCTCAGGAAACACAGCGGGGCTTTCACTGCCTTGTGGGCTGTCGAGGCATGTGGACGATGCTGTAATAGCACCTGCGCAGAAAGAGGCCGATCATCCAGTCGCCGCATTGCGTTGGCAAGTACTTGTCTGTCTGAGGCAAATCGAGGACAATGGCACAGCAGGTGTTTGATGTTTATGTTGGTGCCACAAACATCGCACGCCGCACTGTCAGTAATTCTGATTAACGTGGTGTAAACTTTCCTGAAAGCAACTCCCAGCCAAAGGCGATAGAGACGCGAAGCTGCACGTTGATGTAGGCCGGGTGGAGGCCGGAGTTGTAGTGAAGGGTCGAGCTTGTGCAGTCGCGTACGTCGTTTGTTTGGTGTGTTCCACTCAGTCAGTGTGAGACTGCGGGCCAGTTGACGAATCTGCCTCACCGCATCCGCTCTTGAAAGCGGAATTGGAACGATGTTCGCTTCTTTATGTGACGTGCGAGCAGCATGATCTGCAGAATCATTGCTGCCTATACCACAATGCCCAGGTAACGACTGAAAGGCGATGTCATGGCCTTTTTGTATTAAAAGGTGGTGAAGTTTCACGGTTTGGTAGGTCAACTGGTCGTGGCATCCGCGTCGGAGAACTGATATCAGGCACTGTAACGCTGGTTTTGAGTCATAAAATACAGCCCATTTACCTGGTCTTTCTTCTGAATTGATGAGTTCCAGTGCATTGCGCAGAGCCTCGAGTTCTGCCGTCGTTGACGTTGTCCCATGTGAAGTCTTAAAACACCGAGTTACCCCTTGGGATGGTATAACCACTGCTCCACCTGAACTAGACGGCGTAGTAGAGCCATCCGCGTAAATGTGCACGTGGTTACTGTAGTTTTGTTCCAGTGGGAATAGACTCAGTTGTTTCAGGGCATGTGTCGGTAAGTCCGATTTTCTCCTCATTCCCGGAATCATTAGGTGAATTCGAGGCCGGCTCTAGCTCCAAGGAGGAAGCAGTGGCTTTGGTGCAGGTGCGTATGTCTCAGTAAACGATGATCGATGCTTGTAGACAATAGCAGCTAGGCTTCAGCAGCTAGGCTCGCTAGGTGGTGAGAAGGGGTCCTGGTATAATGCCTGAGCTGCATGCGCATTGTCTCGGTAATAATATGCGTCTTTATTGAGTGATCTTGAGCGATGGCAATGGTTTCGGCCGTTGAAGCACTGCGGGGTAATCCAAGGCATATTCTAGGTGCTTGAGCTTGAATGCTCTGAATTGCGCGCAGGTTGGTCTTGCTGGTGTTAGATATTGCAGGTAAGCTGTACCGTAAGAATCCGATAAACAGCACTCTGTACAGTAGTAGCATGGATGGTATGGGCGCTCCCCAATTCTTTCCTGCAAGGAATTTGAACACGTGGCATGTTGCGATCAGCCGCTTCTTCACATAGTTCACGTGTGGAGTCCACGACAGGTTTCTATCTATTATGACTCCCAAGAACCTGTGGCTTCTGCTGAACGATATGTATTCTTCATTATTCAATATGCTGTAAGCAGACATTGGTTTCCGCGTTAACGCTACCACTGCACATTTTCCGCAGAACACCTCGAGGCCTTGTTTACAATAATCAGGTGTTGGGCCATTCGCTGTCAACACGTAAAATGATCTCAGCTGTAAGTAGCTGTACACCCACATATATATCTTGCCACCAAGACCTACTGTTTCCAAAGCACTAAGGATGGCTTCATGAGTGACATTGTCGTAAGCCCCCTTAACGTCTAGAAACAGGGCGGCGCACAGTCTCTTACAGGCTTTCTGGTGTTGAACATATGTCACCAGATTAACAACGTTGTCGATTGACGAATGGCCGCGCCTGAATCCGGTCATGGATGCTGGATAGATTTCGTAGTGCTCTAAATACGACTTCATTCGTGTTAGAATCATTCGTTCCATCGTTTTTCCCACACAACTGGCAAGTGGGATAGGACGGTATGAGGCAATATCCGAAGGATATTTACCAGCCTTTAGAAGTGGAATGAGGCGACTTGACTTCCATGCCTGGGGAACCGTACCTGTCTGCCAGGAGTCGTTGAATAGGCGTAAAGGCTGGTGCACACCGGCGACTAGTCGCGGTCGCGCGACCATTTGCGACTGGTCGCAAGCAGTCGCGAACGGTCGCAAGCGGTCGCAAAGCGACTGTTTGGGCCAGTCGCTTCCTGACCGATTTTTGGTCGCGCGACTGCAGTCGCAAAACAGTTTAACCAATCAGCGAAGACCAGAAGTGACGTCAGTCTTTGTTTACATCCGGTCTCCTCGTATGTTTTTTTTTCCTCGTTGCGCTTGCCTACTGCCGTGAGGTACGAACGACACGTACGTTCCTCCATGGATTCTTCCTCGCATCAGGCGAATGCCACCACGGCCAGCTTTGGGTAGTCGGCCGAGCTCCTCATCGACGCGACTAAAATGTACCCATATCTGTATGACAAGCGGCACCCTTCTTTAAAGATCGGACAAAGAAGGACCGGGCTTGGGCAGATCGAAGCATGTTCGGCATGTCGAGTAAGTACCGAGATTTTTTGTTTGAGTAGCTATATAAGCAAAAACAGGTGTGTACTGCATGGCTGGCGTTGCCAATGAATGAACAATGAAAATATTGGTATTTGTACTGCAAGGTTACATGGTTAGTTTGCATGAGATGTATTGACTGTGATGTATGCGAGCGCAGTTGTGTGAATGTTTGTTCTCGCGACTTCCCGAGTTTAACATCGAAATCGACGTGACAGAACATTGTATAGCTGATCATAAAGCTCAGACGTTCGAAATACTGCTCGCAGTTGCCAACTCACATGCGCATGCTCCTTGCTGTGTTTGTACGTCATCGTCTGGCGAACGGAATGTGTGCTTTGTGAACGTGCGGCATTTGCAATGCATAATATCTAGTGCGCGGTGAGGGAGGGGGGGGGGGGGAGTTACGCTTTAATTTTGCCTATGCATTGCAGTTGTGCTGCTTTAAAAAAGAATGCAAAGTAGCTTCTGCTTTGAGCGCATTTTGTGCACTCCACAGAGGAGCGTGTAATTAAAACATGAAAACATGTTTAGCAGCACTCTCAAATGTCCGGATTTGGGAGTCAGACATGCTGTTGATGCCAAATGACATGCAATCGTAAAAAAAAAAAGATATGGTAGTGTTCTAGTGGCTGGGCGAACACTGAAGGAAAGCACAGATGGGGGAATTTATTCCTCTGTAATGTGGCCCAAATCTAATCCTCATTTCTTCACAACTGCTCCTTTCCTCTCCTGTGTTTTTGTCTATTGGTGCCTTTATATTTTATTCCCCGAGGTTATATCTCTCCGCTTTCAACTGTGCCTCGTTTTTGTTTGTTTTCTTTGTTCCTATATTTTAAAGTCAATTTTTCATGTCTGCTTCTATGTGTTGGTATGTTTTCATGTTTTGGTCCCTTTATTTTCTTATATTTTCCTTCCTCTCGCTCTCTCTATGTTACACTTTGAGTCATATACTATGTTTGTTGCATTTCTTTCTCTTGAAAATTGTCATCTTGCTCTAGTTAGTTTCATTCTTCTTTTCAAGTTATTTAACATGTTTGCTTTTGTTTGACAACAATCGCTCCCACTGTACACGACAGTTGCGCTTGGCCGATACCAATGGTATATACTCACCTGTGGAGTTTTGCGCAATGCAGTAATGCTTAGAAAGCTTCACTGTGAAGGTGATAAAGACATCATGTGCTGGTTCATGAAATAGACTTTTTGCAAGTGAACTTCAATTTCCGACAGTATAAACAGCCTCTTTGTTACAATAGCTTGGCAGACATGCTTACCTTCAAGAAACAGTGTACATAACTCTTTGCGCAACTAATCATTGCGTCAGCTGTGATGTCGTGCACATGTAGGTGGACGGTCTAAAACACTAGGTGGGTAGCATTTCTGGAACCCTCGGCTGCAGGTTCCCTCAATCATGTCGTGGTTTTGCAATGTTTAAGCCCCTACCAATAGTTAAGTTTAGATGGCATGCGATTCATTTTGTTGCCCAATATTCAGATTTCTAGGGTGCTGCAGCCAAAATGATCTGGGCAAAGAAAATAAAGACCGCTCACAATTGTGCTGAAATAAAGTAGAAAATTTATCAGCGATACAGTATGCACAATACATTCTTACAGCAAGGGTTTTGTTTTCAGGTGTCCTTGTTGAGAAACGATTTAAGAACCTGCGTGATATCTTCAAAAGGAAACAACACGACATACGTGAAAAAACAAAGAAGTGGAGCCGGAGCAGCCGACATTCCAACAATAAAATGGCCCCATTTTGAGGCCATGCTTGAATTAATGGAAGGAGAGTCTGAGCCTGTGGCGTAAGTTCAATATTAGCTGACTATTGAGTACTAAACAAAAAAAAAGTTGATTTAATTCACATGACTGTTATACATACACATAAATACTCACATATCAATACACATAAGTACACTGCACATAAACATAGAAGTCCCAAGAGGTAATTCACAGTGGGCATGCATGTGATCATGAACATGATGGCAATGGGCTGTTTTGATGTCGAATAACTGTGGCTACAGCTACGAAGAATAACTCAGTGCATCATTCTTTCTGGATACTGTGGAACATGAGTGCCATTGACCAAAGGTAATGAATAATGCTTACCGTCCATTGAACAGAAAATGAAATGTTTTGGTTAGCATAGCACAATGCATCAGCACAACGCAAAAAATATAGCATACCGTACAAGTGGCACGTGGACAGCTTCACAAAACAGAATATTGAAGACAGAACAGTAAGAATGAAAGAATTGAGTGTACTTCTGTGTCATTCTCGGCTCTCATTTACCAAAAAAAGAAAGGCTTAATACAAAATATAAAAATCTAAAGAGATCGCTTATTGCATGTGTCATGAGGCTGTTCATAGACAAGCATTGCACATATTCATTACAAGAATGCAGCATAAGTACTTATATTGTAGCAAAACAGTGAAAATGCTCTAAAGATGCACACAATAGCACTGACAGAATCACATATTGCATGTTCTCTTGCAGCAGCCACATCACAGCAGAAGAGGCTAACGAGAGGTGAGCATGCACAAAAATTTTCGGTACCATGTGCATGCACTTGAAGCTGTACATGCATGGACTTGAACCTAGAAACATTATTTTTTATTACTAGGTGATTGTACTTTGCAAAATTATCAAAAATACAAGCGTGCTTGAAAGGTGGTGTTCAGGTCGTTAGCTTGCCCAAACCACTGCATTTTTTTCAATACATTCAGCACTCAACACTGAACAGAAGCACACCGAAATACATGAGGGCACAGGCATTGTTTCTGTGTGAATGTGGTTATTTTACAACGTCAAATATTTCTGAAAAAGCAAAGTATTCATCAGCAACAGGCTGCAATTACTTTTACTTCATCTCCGTGACAATATCTCTTGTTCTCATTTAGATGTGCAGCCTACATAGCATTTTATTAACATAATAGGCACAATAAACTTCTGTATGCACACCTTCCATACAGCAGTTCTCAATCAAGAGGTAACGCAAGTGTAAAATAAACTTCGTGTTGAGCGAAATCATAATGGCATTTTAACTCCCAAAGAATGCCTAAAACTTTTCATGTACTAGCGGCATCATCAAATACATAGAAAGAAATTTTAATCACTGCAGATCACCGCCTCGGCCAAGACATGCAGCGGAACCGGAACGTACCCCTGATACGGCTGAGGAGACTCGTGTAGACACCTGCAGCAATGAGTAAAACCTTTATGAATCCACCTAAGTAATGACAAATGAAGGGCATGCATAGATAGCCAATCTATTAAATCTTAAAAACATGCATGTTCTAGCACATTTGAAGAATGTGCCTAATGTTTTTTTTTTTTTTTACAGGTATCTTACAGGCCCTTGGTTAGGGCATTGAGTAAGGGGGGCTAACAAAGACATGTACAACAAGTAAAAGGGCGAAAGGTGCCAAAACGTAAGCTCGAGACATGAGTAACAAATAAACAAGAAATAAGTAAGTATAAATTGACATCATACATCGTTACCAAAAAACAAGAAAGATGCAGTTCATGGCACGCAGCAGTTAGGAAGTGTACAATACGTGTAAGTTAAATTGGCACAGATTGTGGTATAATACACTGGGAAAATCATGAAAGCGCTTACAGGAAGTGTGAACAGTTCGTCCTAAGCAAACAAAAATAAAGCACAAAAAATAAGGGGGCAATAAGCGCATTAGAAAAAAAACTTTTTGCACAGCATTATGAATGTCATATACATACAAGAACGAAGCTGTGAACATAAAATTATCAACCAAAATGTAAGACCAATTTGTTGCGGAAGGAAACAGGGTTAGTGTCAGATACCAAGTTATCGGGAAGATCATTCCACAACGTGATGGCACGAGGCAAAGCGGATGCGTTAAAAGAGTTCGTTTTGCCGTACATGCGCGAGAAACTAAGCCGGTTGTGTAGTCTAGTTGATAAATAGGAGGGTCGTTCAATTGGAAGTCTGGTCATTTTAGTGCTATTGACGTATTTATGAAAGAGGCATAAAAGAGAAATGTTGCGGCGAGTGGATAATAATTGAAATGAATAATCCATTTTAAGTTGTGTTACGCTGCAGGAGAAATTATAATTACGAGAAATGAATCGGACTGCCCTATTTTGAACTGCTACATGCACCAGATTTTGCTACATGCAATTTTTCACACCAGATTCTGCTACATGCAATTGCAACACTTTATAAGTTGTATAATAATACTGCCTCCTCCTGCGGTGATGCTTCAGCAACCACCTCAAGAGAGCAGCCACCATCAAAACGGTGTGTAAACAAAAAAAAATTATTTTAGGTACTCCTGGCAAGAGATCACAACCACAACTTTTCGAAAAGGATCACTTTCTGTACATTTAAGTAATATGTATAATTCACTGCAGGTCACGCTCGTCATGCAGACTGTATCAGGAGGTCAAGACCTCGTCAGGCTATTTAGCCTTTAGTCTTTGCCTCCCGCAGGGAAGTTTTTGTATTTTTTTTATTCTTTCCTGCAAAAATAAACTTTGAAACTTTGAAACTTTGAAGACGACAACGGACCTGCGAGGGCGCTAGGTGAGATATACCCCTAACTCTTAGAGGATAAACTTGCAGATTTTTTTCTAACAATCCTGCGCATGCTACAAAACACAAAACTTTATAAGGTTCACGCTCGGTCAAGTTGGTACACAGACAGAGTAACAAAAAGAGTGTGAGAACGACAAGGTAGAAACAGAAGAAACAGGACAGAGCACAGACTTTAAACTGATGTTTTTATTGTGGACACATTTATACTAAGGTAGACAGAACCCATGTAACTACCGTAATATTTAGACGTTAATATCAGAACATCAGCACCCTGTCCCAAAACACAAGTGTCCGTTTCAAAGATCAAAAGCCCATTTATTTCTCACAGAGAAGTAGACGCCCTATTGACACATTTATCTTTTAAGTGTGCTATTATTTTGCTTCAGTTGCTCTATATTTTTTTCTTTCTTAGTGCCGAAAATCACAAACATTAGCTGAAAGTCAGTGCTCTGTATTGTTTCTTCTGTTTCTACTTTGTCGTTCTCACACTGTTTTTTTTTGCTAAATGGTGCTTTATGAAGTAACAATGCAACCTTAAAGCATTTGCATGAATCGCAATTCACACTTGCTTTGCAGCAATGCAGGAGAGGGCACAAGCCATGAAGCTGTGGCGCAAGCGTGCATGGAGCACCTTGAACACATCAGAGCACACAAGGGGGTCATCAAAAAAGATAACATTGGTTTCTTCGCTCTACGTACCGATGCACCCCTCAGAGAGCTACCAGTGCACATTGCACAAGATGTAATGCATGCAGTAGAACTTATGCTGTATGAAGCAGAGGCAAAATTGCATCAGAGCAGTGAAGCAAATTGAAGTGTTTATATATATAAAGTCAATGACACCCACCTTTTTTTATCTTGTGTTCACTTTTCTAGTCCTAACTTAAAGGGGTCATGACTGGTCACTCAACAATTGACGGTTGTCAGCAAAAAACAAAACTACAGAGTAAAATGTGCTAGTACACGTGTGAAAAGGGGCCTTAAGAGATTATTTTAGTCAAAAATATGCCGTAGAAGTGCTCGGCTCCTAAAACTCAACCTACCACAAGTGACCGCCATTTTGTCATGGCGTGCGCGACGTCACAAGCCGAAGGAGCAGTGGCAAATGGTATACGCATTGCACATTCACGAAATTATTTGCTGCAAGTACCAACGCTACATTGCTGACACAGTAGCCATGTTTCGACCCCTGGAAGTCATTTAGCTTTAGTGGAGAGTTCAACAATGCAAAAAAATTTGATTGCAAACGCAGCTGATGACAAAACACGACCGTCTGCCAGAATGCACACTGTGCAGCAGCTTGTCGAGCAAGCGGTTCGTGATGTCATGGATAGTGAGTGCATCAGTATTGCCCAACTGTCAGGCGACTAGCTCGTTTATAAAAATATGCGATTAAAAATTAGCAGCTTGACCAAATCGCTCGAATTTCACCAGCTTGTATGTGAACATACAAGAATCAGCTCATGCAACACACATTATGGTTGAAAATTGGGTGTCATGACCCCTTTAAGGCCACTTATTTCTGTGATAATTATAGCGATAACCGTGCAATAACTCAAATATTTTAACATGAATTATTTATTTTTGTGTTTTCATGGTTATATTTGGACATGACAGTTTTCCCTGTAATGTATCTGTTGTGTCACGGGTGATTTTTTTCTTCTTTGTTTAGCTTAAGAAGATGCTATGTACATAAGTTCTGTAAGCAATAAAATGCATTTACAACCCACCTTCACCTTGTACGCCTCAAGTGCTGTTCACCACTTTGTCCTGCCAAGGCACCTGACCGTCTGTGACGAAGTAGTGCGCCAATTTATCTCGCACTTCCTTGGCATACCTACAACGCATAAGTGCCATGTGAAATTTCTGTCGGCACAGCCATGATGGAAGACACACACTGTAAAAGGAACATGCTGAGCTTGAAAATCTCACACATAGTTGCATTTCAGTGTCGTAGTCATGACGCTACATTGCCAAAGTGTTCCTCATTTTTATGTATTAATGAGTGCTACCTCTGCTGTCTATTTTCTACGACATCATCACAGCTTCTGATAGAATGCATATTTGCTGACTGACTTTAGAAATTTCGATATGTCAAGTTTCATGGCAGCCAAGGTCAGTAACTGCTCGCATTTGGACAAAACAATTGTACACTTTTGAGAGAACGATTGCCCTGTACAGTTAAACCAAATTAAGGCTGGTGCACACCGGCGACTAGGAGCGGTCGCGCGACCATTTGCAACTGGTCGCGAACGGTCGCACTGCTTGTGCACTCTGCAAGCTGTCGTATATGCAGTGAATATTTCTGTGCCTACACATTTTAGCGAATCATAAGCATGCATCAACCTTTTCATGGAAGAGCGTACGTGCTCATATCACTCAGGTTGAAGAAGGGCAACCTAAATGTACCTGTAGCAATTTCCTTAGCATGGATTTCTGAAAAGCTGTAAATTCAAGGAGAACCTATTTCGCAAAACGTACATCACTCAAGTCAATTGTTCAAATTGCTTTCACACAATGTGCTACCGTCCACAATACGTTTTGCCACTGCGCTACTGTCCACAGTGTATTGAGTCACTGTCATTTTAACAGAACATACGTATAATTGTAGCAAGGTGCAGGGGTTAAACACTGCCTATGTTTGTGAGAAATTTCGCATGTGTACTTGTGCAAACACACACCGTCGTGCATGCAGATACATAAAGGGTGGTTGGTTGAACCTCCTCCCTCCCCGATGCTGAAAAATATTTTTGGCATGAATACTCTTTGAGTGCCTCGAACAGCACATCAATTTGTCCTAACAATTTGTGCATAATTGTACTCGCAAAGCTTAGGATTGTGTTTCACTTATTTTATAACATCATTAATAATTGCGTTCTATATAGTACCTGTGCATCAGGATAACAGAAAACGGGAACTGACCGGTCCACAATGTAATGTCATTGTGTAGCGCAGAATCCCATTTTCTGGGATTTTACAAGCGGAAACCACGTACTGATTACGCAATAAGCAACAACAGATGGTTTTGAAATATTCACCACCTGAGATTCTTAACGTACGTGCGCAACAAACGCGCCAACTTAAGTGCATTTCGCCTCCACCTAAAGGCGATCGATGCGGCCGTAATCAAACCCGTCACCTACGCGTAAACTGCCGGCCGCCGTAACGACTGCATCATCGAGCCCGCATACGTCATAAATGCAATTCGTTCTATCCGCCCAAGCAAAACTTCCTTACGAGCGAAGCGCAGCCGCAAGCCACAGCATATTAATCTTCAAACCACACGCTCTTACCTAATGGTCATGGCCAGGCAGTCGTGCGCCGAAATTGTAAGCCGGTGGTTTGTGTCCTGCTTGGATATTGCGGGGCGCAGCAGTTCGAGCACAGCATCGAACGTTCGTGGCGGCATCCGCATGAAGCTAACTACCAAAAATAGAATGAGATAACATGTTATGCACTATCTTATAAGCACGTAAAACAACCATAAACTTACTCTCGGAAATTCTCCTCGTCGTGCGAGCGCAAGAGCAGACGCCCTGTGTGGACGGCCACTTCTCGCGAGCGAAGGGACGGTCTCACCCACCATCGCCTTGCTTGCTTTGAAGGCTTTTGTGCTGACACGTTGGCTGAGCACATCAGTACCGCCACAACCTCTTCTTCATCACTCGACTCTAAGTCTATGATGCTGCCGGGAGAACGCTACGCAAACACAGCCGTCAAAAACAAACGCATCGCGCTCAGCGGGCTCCGTATCTGATCAGCTGATCGTCGCCGGTCGCCCAAGTTCTCGTTGATAACGAGATCTGTACGTGACTCTCCGGGTTTGCGACTTCCGGTCGCTCGCATGAATCCTTGCCGGTGTGAACGTCGCTCGCAGTTTGGTCGCCAGTCGCAAATGGTCGCGCGACCGCGGCTAGTCGCCGGTGTGCACCAACCTTAAGAGTGCCTTCCGAGCTTCGTCTCCAAGATTACAAAGGGCACAATAGGTAATGCCGTCAGGTCCGGGTGCTGAAGAACGTGTGCACCGTGCCAGTGCCGCCTCTAGCTCAACCATAGAAAACTGGCATTTCATACGGGGATCACGTGAGGGCGGTGGGTTGTCAAATGTTGCCATTCTTGATACTGTGAAATTGGAATCACCGGCAATTCTTCTACAGAAAGATTCTGCGACGTCAATCTCTCTGCATCGAAGGTGAAGTGCCAGAGATGAAAACGGGTGTCGCTGACCCAAGGTTGTGCTAAGACCCCGGACAGTTCGCCATATCAGTGATAGGGGCTTTCGTGGATCCAACGACTCGCAAAAGGGTGTCCAACGTCACCTAGCCAGTTTATCCATGTGCCGCTGCATTTTCTTTTGATTGCGTCTAGCCAGCCTCTAATCATTCATGCACTTTGTCCGTCGGTACCTTCGTTCTGCACGATGGTGTAATGCGCGAAGTTTCTCGAGCTCGATGTCGAAAACAGTGCGCTTGTGACTAGTCAAATGTGTATGCGTGGTATTCTGCAGGACATCCTTTATCGAGTCCTCTAGGTTATATGATGAGCCGTTGGTACAGCAGTCTTCCATTAACATTTTGAATTTCGGCCAATTGGTGTATTTGAGGCCTCTTGAGGACTTGAAGCTGGTGTAACCTTCTATACACAGGTAAGTTGGTATATGGTCGCTGCCCCGAATTTCCAGATCCGAAAACCAGTGCACTTTACTGGTCAGTGAGCGAGAAACCAATGTAAGGTCCAGGCAGCTGCTATAGGCTGATCCGCGTAAATATGTAGGGCTTCCATCGTTACAAACGCAGAATGCGTTCTCCGAGGCTAAGGATACCAATTTTCTTCCTCTAGAGTTGTCCCTGGAGCTTCCCCATAGGAAATGGTGGGCATTGGAGTCACCAGGGATCACCCATGGCCTTGGAGTCAATGTCAGAATACCGCGTAAGCGCTCGCAGTCAAGGCGGCTTGATGGAGATAAGTAAGCTCCGATAATTGTGAAAGCAACCTTATCCTCCTTCACAGTAAGGCACACATACTGATTCTCTTCATCAGGCGAGACTCTGTGGTGAACGTAAGTGAGGTCATGGCGCATGAATACAATAACTATGCTGCAGTCTCTGTGAGTGGAGGACATGAAGCACTCATATCCTGACAGCTTGTTGAAGCACACAGGTTGGGTTCACAAATTACGATAATGGGGAAGCGGTTCACAAATAGAAACTGTCTAAAGTCAGACATGCACGACTTCAGTCCTCTGGCGTTCCACTGAAAGACAGATGCATTCTTGGCTTCCGCTCGAAACGACGGTGCCTCGCTGGCCATGGTTTTACCTTAGAGCTGCAAGCACCGGACACAGGGTGTCCAGCACATGCAGTGCGGTCTGCGCAGCCGAAGTCTTCATATTACTCAGTAGGACACGCATGGTACTCATCAGCGATTGCAGCAAGCTTATCACTTGATCTTCATTCATCGCATCACTGGTTTGAAGGGTCGTCGAGGGTGGCGGGATTTGATGCAGCTCCGAAGTAGGTTGACTTCGTGGAAGTGAGGGCCACTATTCGGAAGGTGCGACTGCTGTCCCTTTCTTCTGTTCGGCAGTATCCGTCTTCAGTGAGCTCGGTGTTTGTGGGTCAGCCTCTTTGATAGAGGATGACATCTCTCTATCGCTAGAGCCATTTTTCCGTGATGGTCTTCGCCCACGACGCCGTCCTCGGCGTAGTGTAGCGGCAGCTTCCCTGTGCGTTGAATTGTCCCGCACCATACGCCTGAGTACCGCGTGCTCATTTCGCACCCGCGGGCAATCTTTGAATGAGCCCTCATGAGCGCCGTGGCAGTTTGGACATCGTAACACAGTGGCACCGCAGGCGTCTTTTGAGTGAGACTCAGCGCACCGCGGACACACAACTTTGTTCTCACAGACACCTTTTACGTGTCCCATCTTGAAGCACTTGTAGCATTGCAGTGGCTTCGGTATGTATGGACGCACTGAGTGGCGAACGTGGCCAACTTTGACATACGAGGGAAGGCTGTCTCCCTCGAACACAAGCCTCAAGCAGCGTGAGTTGCCGAGTCTGGTAATGTGCGTGATGCGGGTGCCTTCAGTCGCTGGCTTTATTAGTATTGGCAGGTCATTAGCTGAGATGGAAAGATCCATATCATAAATGACGCCTACAGTGCCATTACAACCTGTAGCGGCCATTGGCCGAACTTTCACGTTGCCGATTTCTGTTATGTGCCGAAGGCTTTGCAGTGCGCTACGGTGCATAACGTCTACAGCAAGGACATTCTTTCGTGCATTGATCTTCACGTGTTTGATCTCATTCGGCGCGGTTTCCTCGAGAAGCACAGAAAGAACTTGCCTGTTGAGGAGTCGCAAGTTAGATTCAGGGTGTTCGGGCATAAACAGCATGGTGTGCAGCCACCACTGGGGTGCAGTCTTAACGGTGGAAACACTTGCCGACGATGCCGTCCGCAGCAGTCTTCGTTTTGTAGATCGATTCAGGACGACCATGAAGTGATCATCTGATGACTCAAAGCAGTCCGAGTACAAATCGGTTGCCTCGCTGTCCGTGTCGCTCAACGCGTTGCTACGCTTCCTGGACGACGAAGCCCGGCGCGGCGATTGCACGCCTGGAACATTCTCAGGTGTGTCCTGAAGCATCACCGCAAAGAAGGGAGCAGCAGCTCCCAGGATTTCCAGAAAAACAAAGTGAAAATCTTCTCTTAAGCAAAGATTCAATAATCATTCTTGGTGGTATCTTCCTAGGTATTTACTATTCACTGTACTCCTTCCACACTTCGAGCCCCAATTAAAAAAAGATTGCCTTTTCGTGATAAGTTATTAAAATGCATACCGATAAAACGACGATCGTGACCTCACACAATATATAAATATTGTCGTCTGTTATTGGTGCTATTTTATTAGCTATATCTTGCATGCTTTGATAATGCTTGTATTCCTCCACTGCGGTGGCTTTGCGACGTTGCTATAAGAACCTCGGGCGCACGGCCATGTTCACGCTGGGTTGAGTGTGTTCAAGTACTCGCGCGATTGCTTCAAAGTCTTAAAAATTTTCATAATATTACTAAAAATATATGTATCGAATTCACCTCGTACATTCTCAGCTTTCGGAGAAATATGCGAGCTTGTGTTTAAAGCGCAATACCTTCCAAAGAAATAATAATATATTCAGTGACATGGCGTCCGCATCTGCGATGTGACCAAATATGGATTACTTTTGTTCCGATATGAAGACAGAAAGAACCAGGGAGGGGTAGTCACAGATGCAGGTCAGCGAAGGCGGAAAAGTGAAATTTATGAAGCAGCACCAGTGTCCCACTCGCAGGCAACCAGGCGGCCCCCAGCGCGACTCGTGGTCTCACTCACCAAGCCGCAGCCGATTGGGGGGGCCGCCTACACCTCCGAGAGTGAGGCGATGACATTATTAACACAACAACAACAACCGGATTGGTCATGGGGTGATCACCTGACCATATTCAATGACACTACACAACATTACAAAATAATTAACAGACGCTAATACTCACCACGACACAACAAATTAAACAAAAGACAGGCCGTAAGCCGGAGAATGTTACAGACAAATACGTACCCCAGCCCGGTGATACTACACCTGTGTTATCAAAGCCTGACCTCGGCGGACGTGTGTAAATAACACCGACTAAATTTCAACGCCGAAGGGCTGCTGCAGCTACGTCAGAGGTTGGGGGCCAGTTGCCCAACTGAGCATGCTCAGTAAGATTTTTTTTTTTCGCATCTTTTATTCGGCCCAATCTAGCCGCAGCAGCTGTGACAGCGGGAGCGTTGGTTCTCCTAAAGCGTGAACGAAACACGGGTTTTCCGCTGCATTCGCGGCGTAACTGGGCCAGCAACCTCTGACGTCACTGCGACAGCCCTTCGGCCTCGAAATTTAGTCGGCGTTGGTGTAAAGCATTTGAGGAAAGGGCTCACTGAAGCACATGCTTTGGAAATGTGTCGGAAAAGTGAATGTCGCTGCCGCCACTAACTTCGTGACGCAAGTGAGGCAGGAACGAATTCAGAGGCGAATTTTTGTTGCTAACCACCGCGCAAGGACAGGAGCCGGCCGCCACCGCGGCTACGGTCACTGCTGCGGATCGACTGAGTGAGTGTCATTGCCTCTGGGAGGCGGAAATCACCAGCTACGAGCTGGCCAATTACCTTAAGGCCACCCTGCAAGCCGTATATACTGCCTAGGTCCAGGGACTTCAAGTGGTCACCTGAGGCACCGCCATCATAGACGGAGAATGGAAGGGGAGAGGGCTTAATTCCCTCTTCTCACCAACAACAGCAGCAGCAGCAGCAGCAGCAGCAGCATAATATTGTTACGCGCTAAGAGCTCGAACGAACGTACAAAGGAACGCGACTGTCCAAAATCTCAGAGAGAAAGAAGAACGTCTCCGCTGGCACGGGTTGCTCGTCTTCGTCTTCCTCGTTCACCGGCACACAACTGACCCACTGTTCACTGGCACAGAACACCAGGTGGCATTACTCCTCCTCCCAAGAGAGCATCGACCCGATGCTCAAACAAAAGTGTGTACAGCAGTGGGTCGAAGTAGGTTACATAAACATTAAACAAACTAGTGCACGAGAGAAAATGCGT